CATTTTCACAGGAGCACAGAGAGAGGTGTGGCTCATTCGGCACAGTGGGGTCACCGTGCTCCCCCTTTGATGTTAGCCTTGCAAGCTTCCCCCTTAACATGCAGCGCTTGGCGGGCTGATTTCCAGCCATTTTCTCTTGGATGTATTTTTCTCACTGATACTGTTCCTGCTTTGGGCACAAGCCGCTCCTCACGCCTGTCTCCATACCTCCAGTGCACCCTGCCTCCGCACCCACCGGACCCCCTGCAATGTCACCTTTTCTGTGGCACTCACTTCTCTGGGTCATTGCTGCTTGTAATTCCCCTCCCTGGTGTTCAGGGACCTCCAGACATTGGTCAGATTTATCTTCATTCAGTTCACAACTTTCACCCTTGCTGGGCAAGGCTGCACACCATCCCCTAGAGCCTCTGCATTTATTTCTGCCATTCGTCTTTTGCTTATGTTGCTATATCTTGTCCTATTCACATCATACTATCCTTTAAATCCCACCTGACATGTCACTTTTCCACGATGCATAAATTTGCTAACTGTACTTTATTATAGTGGTCACTTAACAATAATTTAGTTTCATGCTAGAAATTTTGGCACTGATTATATAAAGAGGGTCACAAAATTTAACTCATACCACAACTGGGATATAGAAGATAAAATTTTTAAATGTGCCTATAACAAAAATCAAATTTCTCCGAAGTCCCTACTCATGGTTTACCTGTGGGGGTGGGGGTGGGAGCAACAAAGTGTCTAATCCAAATTAAAGCTGGGTCCCGTCCTGTTACATAAAGCATCTCATAGGTAGTGGTCTGGCTCTGCAGAAAAATACTCAGTTTATTAGGTGATCTCCATGTCTTGGCTTTTCTCCCTAAACTGTTCATGAGAATGGTGTGTGTGCCCCGCGGCTTTAGGAGAGGAAGCTCTCTGTGTCAAGGGTGGCCCCTGAATGGGTGCTGACATAACCCGCTGCACCCTCACCCCCTTCCCGCCCCCCGTCCCTCTTCCCCGTCTCTTCCTCTGCACCCCCACCCTGCGCCCACCTCGCTTCCTTCTGCTGACCCCTCTCACCCTCTTTCTTCTCCTTCTCTGTGCTTGGCATGCCGGCTGAGCCTGGTCTCCCTGATCCAGGATCTATTCTTTCCTAATTAATTCTGTTTAATCCATTTTTAATTTAACTCTTGGTTAACAATTTTGTTTCCTTCATTGTGAAGTCCCACGAACACAAATACGAAGCCACTCTTTCCTCGTATGCATGCAGGCAGGCGCTGCATCTCCAGAAAGATAACAAGATCGCTAAGTGGCGATGGTAGGTTGTATCCTTTGGTGTTCTCCACAGCACGTGACCTAAGCAAAGCTCATATCATATATTTAATAAATACATATTGTCTTGAATTTAACTGACAGAAGAACTGCTTCTCAGGGAAAGGGAAGCAGAAGAATGGTTGGCATTCAAACTTCCTAAATGCCAACTGAACTAGTCAAGACGCAAGAATCCCTAGATCGTGTTGAGCCAGGTCTGGGGCCCAGCTGAATCAGACCAGGCAGGCTTAGGGTAGACACCGGAGGCATGCCAAGTAAATGAAAGCATTTTGTGTAAGTTGTCAGCGTCTCCCAAGATCACCAGAAAGCAGGATTGTACGGTGGGATGCATGTGACTTGGAGAATCAGTCTTTGCTGTGTCATATTCTAGTTGTGTGTCGTTGGACTAGTGACTAAAGACTAGTTTAGATGAGTTTTCTCTTTATAAACGGAGGGTAATGAGGATTCTACCCTGACTTCCAGGAGTGGTGGTGAAAATAGAGTGTCAGCGATAATCCCTGGTAAGTTAGAAAGCATTATCCGGACAGAAGGGTGTCTTTATCAGGGGTCAACGCTTGCTGGGAACAGAAGCCCACTCAGTTTAGCTCAAGATGGATGTGCGGGTATTAAATGGAATTTAGGCATAAGCCCACCTTGAGCAGCCTGCACCCAGGAATCAGAAACTAAGAAACCCTGGTTATTTACTCCTTCTACTGAAACATATGGTTTATTATCTTTCTCACTTTCATGTCTAATTCATTCTTCATTGCTGTGGGGACCGGCCTGCTTAGCTTCAACATGCATCCCATAAAAGAGACAGCTAGCCTAGCCGCAGAGGGACCTGAGTTCTCAGCCCAGCTGTCTTGCTGAACTCCAGATTCCTGGGAAGGATCGACCTGGTGTGGACCAGAGGTCTGTGGCCCAGGAGGCTGGGTCTCAGGTGCAAAGCTGGCCACCCTTTGAGCAAGGACGAAGCTTAGGCAACAAGAGCTGTCTTCTGTTAATTAAACTTTATTAACTTTGCGAAACTTCATTGATCTAGGGCTTTCAAGGCAGCCAAGAGTCAGCCAGCCAGCACATCCGGTCCCTAGAGCCACATCCCTGAGCAGGGTTCGAGGGAAGCTGGTTTTGCTCTGCTCTCTCATACTCTTTGGCTTGGGTTTCAAAGAGTCAGATACAGAGAAAACTGCCATGGCTGAGAGGAGAGGAGGCCATATAATTTTATCAACTGATGGTCTTCCCTATGGCCACGTGGAAGATGCAGTCCTCATTCCAAGAGAGAAAGCTCGTCCACTTGGTCTTCAACTTGACTTTCCTCTGTAGGCGTGGCCTGAGCTGAGGTTCAACCTCGCTAGAACAAGAAAAATGTGGAATAGTTCACAGCTAACTAATACAGCTACTGCCTGGGGAAAGTTTATTTATTATATCTTGTTTATTCCCTACCATCTTCCAAAAACAATTTGAGTTTATAAAGGCCAAAAGCACAAACAAAGTGAAATACAACAGTTAAGGAGTAAAAAGAAGACACATGGAAGAAATTGTATTTTAAAGTCCTGGCTAATTTATTAATAATTACGTGTGGAAAAATGAAGTTAGGTATCTACCGAACATCGAATGAATTCTAAATAAATTCCAGCTATAACAAAGAGTTAAATATAGTTGTTAAACTACAAAGAAACTAGAACAATGCATTAAGTATGTATCTCTTCTTAGGGTAGTGGGGTGGGAGAAGCATTCCTAAACTCATTGGTAAGAAAAGAAACCTTAAGAAAAAATATTAACAGAGCTGACTACATGAAAATTTAAAACTTCTTGAATTTCCAGAACACCAAAACCAAAAGTAAATGGGGAAAATATTTCCAGTACAAATGAGAGCTGATAACTTCATTATGAAGTTTAATAGTCTTATCTGTTAAAAATAATAAAAGACAAACATTCCAATAGAAAAATGAAGGATAGAAAACAAGAAATGTTTGAAGAATTGATACAAAAAGCAAATATACATGAAAGGATAGTAAACCTAAATAACAAAAAGGAAATGCAAATTAAGACAATGAAATGCTATTTAACACTTAGGATTGGAAAAAATTTTAGAAAGCTATAATGTCCAAACTGAGAAGAGATATTGAGAAAAAGGAGCTCACATAGCTTGATGGTAATAATAACACCTTTCTGGAGGGCAATTGGACAATATTTTGAAAGTCCATGGTATACACCCTTTCTCTCAGCAATTTTATTTCCAGAAATTTGTCCCTGGGAAATAATCAAGGATTTATGTAAAGGTTTAGGGACAAGAATCTTTGTTACTCGTTTTTTTTTTAAATAGACACTATTTCCCAAAGCTTTTACAATGAGCATTTATTATTTTTATAATAAGAGAAAACATAAAATAATATATTGCCTTTCTATTTCTGCTTTTCTTTAATTGGAAAGTTAAAAAATGATTAATTCCCATGAAGTAGGAAGTTTGTGCTCAATTTTTAAGAGTAAAGTAACATTTTTGTCTTTTTCCAAGCATTTTGCCTTGGAAATATCAGATAGGAAGGATCAGTAATTACGTAAAAAGATCCGTGAGTCATCAGGACTCGTACAAACACTTTCTACTATTATTCTGAGAACTCACTAGGGCATGTGTGTAGAATTTATCTGCTTTTGTTGTAGACAGAATTTGAAAAAGCATTTCTTTCCATCCTAGAGCCACTTAGCTTCAGTTAAGAGTGGTGGCTGGGGGTCTGGCAGCCAGAGAAGAGAGACAGGTGAACGCAGTAACAGCAATGACAGAAATAAAGACACAAACCGGTTTCACAAAACACAGTTAAAACAGGGACAAATAATCACTTATGTTGCAATGGCTCCTGAAGGTGCGGGTGGTCTCGAATGTTCTCTATGAAGGCCTTGGGTTTCCTGGAAAATCAAAAGCTTTCCATTTCACCTTCTTTCAAAAAAAAAAATGGGACTGTGTATGGCATTTGAAAGTGTATAGCCAACATGGTGAAAATAGAACAAACTTTGGCACTTATTTATGCTAAGCTTTAACAATCTGGGAAAAATATCTGGGTGGGAGGGTGAGCAGAACGAATAAGGTTAGATGATTATCCAGCAGGTCCCAGGAGAATCCCACAGCTATGGATTCATCTCTGAATTATGAAGAAAGAGGAAAGAAATGAGGTGACTTCGAGGAGCCGGGCAAGTGGGGTCTGGTCTGTGGGACTCTGGTAAAGTCAGCCTCCTGTTGGCCTGTGTCACCAAGTCCTGTGCATGTGGCCCTTTTTCTCTGCTCCCAGGACTGCCCTCCCGACGCAGAGGACTTCAGAGCCCAGCAGTGCTCCGCCTACAATGACGTCCAGTACCAGGGACACTATTACGAATGGCTTCCACAATATAACGATCCGACTGCCCCCTGCGCCCTCAAGTGTCACGCACAGGGACAGAATGTGGTCGTGGAACTGGCACCCAAGGTACTGGATGGGACGCGCTGCAATGCTGACTCCCTGGACATGTGCATCAGTGGCATTTGTCAGGTGAGCCACACCCGCTCCCCAAACCCCGGGTTCGAGGAAGTGCTGTGCCCACTCTCAGTAAAGAGAATCATTTTCGTCTTTGGTTTATGCAGATAAAATATTGTGTCTGATCATTTGAATGTAAAAATATTTTAGAGGGTGTTCATTCCCCTTTAATTATTTTACTTATTTAACATAGCATAAATTTTGCCTGTGTGAAGCCAGAAGATTGCGATATGCGACCTCTTGTGATCCTCTAGGTCAGCAGTTTGCCGGCCTGAAAGTCCATTGGAATCACCTGACGGACTTGCTAAAGCGCAGCGTGCTGGGCCCCACTGCAGAGGCTCTAGTAGGTCGGGTGGGGCCTGAGAACCTGCATCTTGAACAAATTCCCAGAGATGCTGATGCTCTTGGCCCAGAGCCCCCATTTTGAAAGCCACTGCTTTGGAAGGGTCATGTTCAGAGGCTCTCTGAGCCTTTGGGGTCATTGTTTTCAGCCTTTGAAAGCAATGACTTATCTGTTGAAAACTTAGCATGAATGCATCCCAGCAGGTTTTTCAGAGTAGCCTGTGCAGACCTATGGTGAGTGTGCCTGAGGCATGACCCCCAGGGCGTGTGCTGGGTGTGGGGACTCAGGGTGCCAGGACAGGCTGCAGGGGCAGCAGGGGGTTGGCAGGGAAAGGACAGGAGTCCACCCCATTCCTTTGATCTCTGGAAAATTAAAAAAAAATAATGAACATCTAGCAGCACCCCATCTTCTCTATTACACTCATAACAAAACAGTAATAACAGCAAAGGAGCCATGAACCACTGGCAGGCATCTCGGACTCACAGAGGCCCGAGGAACCACGGGCTTCTCCTGGGACTAGCCTCTCCCTCTTTCACCCCTTCAGCTGCAAACTGGCCTCCTGGTGCTCCCTGCAAAACTTTGGAGTCATTCTCGATCCTTCTTCAGCCCCTGCACCTAATCCATCGCTGAGTCCTGTCGATTCTACTGTCAAAGTCTACTTTGAAGTCTATCTCTATGGACATCTTCCTTGGTCTAACCCTCCACCAGCTGTTACCTAAACTAAATTATTAGCCTCTTGTCCCGATGTCCCAGCTCCCACCGTTGTCCTCCTCAGATCTGTTCTCCACACAGCAGCCAAGATGACTGCTTTCAATGTAAATCAGTTTGTCACTCCCCCCACCAAAATCCCTCCATGGCTCTCATTGCATTGATGATGAAATCCAGGATTGTTGCTTGCCTATGAAGCTCTTCCTGACCTCTTCTCTCCTGTTCCTCACCTGTTTTTAAAATTAAATTTTTAGGTTCACAGCAAAATTGAGTAGAAGGTACAGAGAACTCCTGTATATGCCCTGGCCCTGCACAGGCTTAGCCTTCTCCAGGGTCCGGAGGAACCTGCATTCACACATCGTTATCACCCAGTCTTTGTTTACGTTAGGGTTCCCTCTTGACCTGCGTTCTGTGGGTTTTGACAAATGTTTAATGACGTTTCCACGGTTAGAGTATGCTACACGGTAACTTCACTACCCTGAAAGTCCACTGTGTTCCGCCTATTCATCCCTGCCTAAGCCCCTCGTCCCTAGCAACCATGGATCTATGTTTTTATTAGTAACATATTTCTTTATTAAAGTATCATTGAAACACAATCTTAAGAAGGTTTCACACGAACAACATTGTGGTTTCAACATTCAACCATATTATCAAGTCCTCACCGCCCCCCCAGTGCGGTCACCGTCCATCAGTGTAGTGAGATGCTATAGAGTCACTGCTTGTCTTCTCTGTGTTGTACTGCCAGTCCTGTGACCCCCCTACATTATGTGTACTAATCATGATACCCCTTAATCACCTTCTTCCCCACTTCCCACCCATCCTCCCCAGTCCCTTTCCCTTTGGTAACTGTTAGTCCATTCTTGGGTTCTGTGATTCTGCTGCTGTTTTGTTCCTTCAGTTTTCCTTTGTTCTTATACTCCACAGATTAGGGAAATCATTTGGTATTTGTCTTTCTCCGCCTGGCTTATTTCACTGAGCATAATGCCCTCCAGCTCCATCCATGTTGTTGCAAATGGTAGGATTTCTTTTCGTTTTATGGCATTCAGTCCGACACGTACTTATTGCCACTGTAGGCTTTCGATTCGTGGTTACCAAAGGTTCAAGGGCAACTTCCTTACTATCTAATAGTCTATCTTAACTCATTTGTTATTCTATTTCAAACACAATCTAAAGGTTCTTTTTTTCCCTCACCTTCCTCTTTTTCTTCCTCCTCCACTCTATATATTAGGTGTCATATTCTGTACTTTCTGTGTATCCCTTGAATACCTTTGTGAGTAGTTGATTTAATTTTGTATTTGCTTGGTAATTAATTGGTCCACTTCCTTTCCTGTGGGTTTCTCTGGTGACAGCTGTTTGGCCCTAGGAGCATTTCCATCTAGAGCAGTGCCTTTAGAACATCTTGTAGAAATGGTTTGGTGGACGTGAATTTCCTCAACTTATGCTTATCTAGAAATTGTTTAATCCCTGCTTCAAATTTAAATAATAATCATGCCAGGTAGAGTATTCTTTGTTGGCGGCCCTTCTGTTTCATTGCATTAAATATATTGTGCCGCTCCCTTTTGGCCTGTGAGGGTTCCGCTGAGAAGTCTGCTGATAGCCTGATGGGTGTCCTTTATTATAAGTGATCTTTTTTTCTCTCTCTGGCTGCTTTCAATACTCTCTCCTTGTCCTTGATCTTTGCCATTTTAATTATTATATGTCTTGGTGTTTTCTTTCTGGGGTTCCTTGTGTTGGGAGATCTCTGCACTTCCATGACCTGAATGACTATTCCACCCCCCCCCACCCCCACATTGGGGAAGTTTTCAACAGTTATTTCCTCAAAGAGACTTTCTATCCCTTTTACTCTCTTTCTTCTTCTGGTACCCCTATAATGCAAATATTGGGGTTTTCCATTTGGATTGGTTGCACAGCTTTCTTATTGTTCTTTCATTCCTAGAGATCCTTTTTTCTCTCTGGGCCTTAGCCTCTTTGAATTCCTATTCTTTAATTTCTATTTCATTTACCATCCCCTCTACCTCATCTAATCTACTTTTAAATCTCTCCATTGTATGTTTCATTTCAGATACTGTATTTTTCAAAATTTCTCTTTGTTGAAGTCCTCCCCAAGATCTTGAATATTTTTCTATAGCTCCATGAGTATGTTTATGACTTTTATTTTGAAATCTTTATCAATAAGATTGGTGATTTCTGTGTCACTTAGCCCTCTTTCTGGTGTTTTTTTCTTATAATTTTGTTTGGACCAAATTCCTTTGCAGCTTCATTTTTTTAGTGTTTCCTATGGAATAATAACTTTGTGTAGGTGGCGCCCTCTAGTGCCCAGAAGCTCAGTTTCCTGTGCAGGTGCCCCAGCTGTTGGAGAGCTGTGGGTCGGTGCCTTTTTGGGTGCCTTTCTGCCTTTGACTTGTTTGTGGTGAGCTGTGTGGGCCGTCAGCTGATTGTGTGATCAGGGAAATACTCTCTGGAGCTGCCGTGTGCCTGCAGCAATGGTGGGGGTCACAGGTGAGTAGCGCTGGTGCCCACTGGGAGGAAAGAGCTCTTTCCTGCTTCCCCGCCACAGTGCCTGCATCCACTGCCAGGGCCAGTGGGCTAAGCATGCAGGGAGGAGCCCCTGTGCTATGCCCCCATAGCTGCCATAGGATGATTTGCAAGCCAGTGACAGCCGGGAGGAAGGAGCGGCAGGCTGTGTATTGTGGTAGTGGGGCCTCGGGGCTGTGTTGCCAGCCAGGTGTATGGAGCACGTGAAGCTCCCAAAAGCCCCCAACCTGCTGGGCTGAGTGCACTGGGACAATTTTGTCCACCTGTCCTTTCTCCTGAGCAGCAAGCTCTGTGTAATCTTTGCTCCTTTAGCAGCCCTCTCATTGCTGGGAAGTCCTTCGAACTGCCCACCTTTCTTTTGTCCCAGAGTGGCTGGTTGTGGGTTCCTGTTCTCCACAAGCAGCTGGAATCTCAGTCTCTCTGAGTATTCTACCCATTTTGCTTTCCAGCCCCACTGATCTCCAGGCTGGGTGTTCAGCAGTCCTGGGCTTCTACTCCCTCCCGACTCTTGTTTTCCTTCCTCCTGCCTGTGGGCTGGGGTGGAGGGAGGGCTTGGTCTCACCGGATCATGGCTTTGCCACTTTACCCTGTTCTGTGAGGTCTTCTCTTCTTCCCAGATGTAGGCAGTCTGTTCTGCAGTCTTCAGGTTGCTTTTTCAGGGTTAGTTGTATTTTTGTATTTTATGTGATTTTGGGAGGAAGTTTCTGCCTCACTTCTCACATCGCCATCTTTTCTCGTGACATACCACTAATCTTTTTACTGTCTTCATAGTTTAGCCTTTCCCAGAATGTCATATAGTTGGAATCACACAATGTGTAGGCTTTTCAGATTGACTTCTTTCACTTAGGCAAATGCATTTAAGTTTGTCCCATATCTTTTCATGACTTGATAGCTCACTTTTAAGCACTGAATAACATTCCTTTGTCTGGATGGGCCACATTTTGTCCATTTGCCCACTGACGGACATCTCAGTTGCATCCAAGTTTTGGCAGTTATGAATAAAGCTGCTGCTATAAACATGCAGATGTAGGTTTTTGTGTGGGTGTAAGGTTCCAACACATTTGGGTAAATACCAAGGAGTGCAATTGCTGTATCATGGTAAGAGTATATTTAGTTTTGCAAGAAATTGCCAAACTGTCTTCCAAAGGGGCTGCACCGTTTTGCATTCCCACCAACAATGAGCCAGAGTTCCTGTGGCTCCACAGCCTCACCAGCATTCGGTAGTGTCAGTGTTCCAGATCTGGGCCATTCTAATAGATATGTGGCGGCATCTCATTGTTGCTTTAACTTGCAATTCCCTAAGGACATATGATATTGAACATCTTTTCATATGCTTATTTGTCATCTATATCATCTTTAATGAGGTATCTTTTCAGGTCATTTTCTCATTTTTGAATTGGGATTTTCATTTTCTTGTTAGGAGTTATTA